GATCTTCATTTTGCAGGTTCTCAGTGGAAATTTCTCGTCTTTTCTTAACGGCAGAGTTATAAAGCTGAGCATAACATGTCTTACCTCGGTTGAAAAGCCATGTTTGATTTTCAAACTTAAGGGATCCATCACGTGTAAGTTTTACTTTTATATATCTAAAATTTGTACAAATTGATTCACTGAGTCAAATGTAAGTACGTTAGCTAAAACTTGTTTATCCTTTTTATAATAAAATTATTAAGACACATAATATTAACAGGGATTGAATGAGTCTGAGTATGATATAAAGAATTATGTTCATCCACCAAGGCTGCAGGCTGACACTAATTATAAAACGACACGTTAACAGCTTGTGCTAAGTGTTATTTGATCTATACAGGTCCTTTTGAGCAGGATAACGCCCACACAACAACAATGGCCTCTCCACCATCAACTGTGCAACAAATACATTCAAGCACACCTTTTAAAGAGTTTTTGAGCAAGTCCACGGTCCATTCTTATAAGCAGACAGAAAGTGCGACGGTCTCATCTTCGGAAATTGTGGTACAAACCAGTCCTTCATTTAGATCTTTTCACACCTTACACATATCGGCCACGCCCATAATCCAAGGAAGTCCTACAATATCTAGGGAAAATATATCTTTTTCTCCATCTTCAACATCGTTCCCACAGGTAAAGACATCGACTAGATATGTTTCTGTTCCTTCCCGAAATTCTGACACATTAACCACGCCTATAATCCAATGGAGCTCTACAATATTTACGCAAAAAATATCTTTTGATGCCTCTTCAACGCCGTTCCTACAATTAAAAACACCGACTGGAAACAATTCTGTCCTTTTCCGAACTTTTCATGTATCGACCACGGGCATAGTCCAAGGAGGGTCTACGATATCAAGGGATAAAATATCTATATGTACCACACTGTTTCCACAAACAAAAACGTCAACTGGTTATGTTGCAGTCTCATCTTCGCATAAATCAGCAACTGTTAGTAGATTTGTAATACTGCCGTGTAAAGGGCATGGAACACGGCTAATACCGCATCAATCGAGGACTTCACACACTTATCAGTATTCAACTACTGATATTGCCGTTATGTTTAACGGTGTGGAAAGTATTGGAGTGAATTTGACATCAGGAAGGAATCGGAGTACTCTATTAGAAAAGGTAAAGAGTTGTCCTGTATTACATTAGCGTACGGGCCCTTAAGCAACGACGACGGCGACGGCAACGAGAACTGCAAAAAAACAGTAGGTTTAGATTAGCAAGACAACAACTTTGCACGTGCATCACCTTTTTTTGTACATTTCTTTGCCGCGGCTGCACGACTACAACGTGAAAGTGCGTCTAATACGCCACTTCCACATTTCCCATAATGCACCTTATTTGCCCTCCAAAATTTTCCAAAAGCATTCTTTTCAATTTCTCTTGGGACGGCTGTAATACCCAGGAGAAATGAAAACCAAAGATTATGCAAAATGTTGGGGGGCAAACATGGGAAATGTGGAAGTGGCGTATTTTCACGTTTTGTCGAGGACTTGAGCACAAGAGAACGACTTTCTTTTTCTTTTCCTGAACTTTGATACAGTCTTTTAGAATTCAGCTCGAGAAAAAGAAAAATTTGCCAACATTTCACGAGTTGAAAGAGTTGGAATAAGTGCGATAAAGGTTTAAGTAGCGCGAATTCACTTTTGAAGTGACGTTTTCGTAGCCGTCGCCGTCGCCGTCGCCATTGTTGTTGCTTAAGTTCCTTATTGAGTTATTCCTCCTTTTCTTTTGCTTGTTATTAATGCTATTGTTTGCTATTGCTATCCAAGCAATTGGATCTCAGCGAACAAACGGTTTTCTTGAATGGATCGTGACTTGTTGTAATTTGTTTGTTCAAAAATCAGTTGTGCAGACGAACAATATAGCTCTGTGGAATCTTTTGTGACAATCAAAATGAAAGCTTAAGT